AAAGTCTGTGGATGATACTACACTAGAAAAAAATGTGAACACTAATGAAGTTAGAAAGATTCAGACAGATAGAACATTTGGATGCAAAAAATGAGAATCAATTTGAAAAAGTGAACGTTAATTCATACAGGGAAAATTAATTTAAAAAAATGCAGGTACTCAATTGAAAAAGTGGAAATTATAATTATGAAAGACCCAGCATTGGTGGGTGGTAAATTAAACATCAATACCTGTTCAGCACAAGAGCACTAGACACTACAAGAACATGATAGGGATCAATGCAATGTTGGGCTGCCTATTTAAAAAATAAAAATAAAATAAGGAAGACTGGAAGTGATAATCCCTTCTCTATAACCCAGGTACTATATTACTTTTGGCAATTAGGAAAAAGTTCCAAAAAATATTTTAAAAAAAATAAGTTCAAGTGACAGAGTTGGATTTGTTTAAAAAAAAAAAAAACAACAACATTAGAATACACTTAGTCTAACAAGGATGAAAAAGGGAGACAAACTTGTGACATTACAATTAATAAGAAAATAAAGTAAGAGAACATTAAGATTAAGCATCAGGAACACGCACTTAAAAGACAATGCTATTAACTTGTGAAATAGCCTCCTAAATGAAATCACAAAACTTCTATCTCTGGGTAGTGTTAAAACGAGACTTTTAAATCTTAGAAGATATACTGCATAATATTACATTTACAAAAGCTAGATGGTGTAGTAGGTATTAACCTTATTTCTAAGTATGAAGTCTATAATAAACCTAACAGCCCCAGGTGTTGCAGGTAAACAATTGTATCTTATCCTAGTGAGAAAACGCACACGAGTTTTGTTTGTTTTTTGCCCTTCCTCTTCAGCAGCTGGTATTAGATATTATCAGAGTGGAGTAGATGGAGTACTGATCTAATACAACATGGTCATTTCCAGTTTAACTCTAGAAGATGCACACACTGTCCTCACTTAAAATTCTTAGGATATTTCAAGGCTTTCTTGCAATGACAAGTTCTCAATTTAGATTGATCTGAAAAAATGAACAGGACATGTCCAACGTTTGAAGGAAGGGAAAGATGAACCAACCAAGACCTTGGACCCCAGACACTCAGACGGAGTTCTACCTTGCAAGGGGTATAAAACTGACATAATACCAACTATTCATTAGACAAGCAGATTTGAGGCACCTCCATGTTGGCCTGATAGTGACATCATTCTACTGCAAGATGCTCATTTTTAGAATTTTCAGCACTTCTAAAAATATGCTGACTTGCAGGCCTGACACAAACAGCAGCTGCTGAAAGCAAATAGCAAAACTGTCCAAAGCTACTCAAGCTAACTCATGCACTGCAATTAGCCAAGCACATCTCCTGTTTTTCCATGGGCTAGCATAAATAAATAAGAGTGCTGGGCCTTTGACCAATGTTACCAGTGGGTAACAAATTGACAATGGTTAGGGAAAGAATCTTTTGACTGGAAACAGTTCACTACTTTAAGTGGTTTTGCCATCTACAGTTTGTCAGTCATAGCATCTACTCCTTACTATGCTGGTCTCAAATTGCATAAAATAAAATGTGCGTTCCAATTCCCATGGTCTTCCTGCACTTTTATTTGGATGTTTATTCTTTGCCTGTCTTATACCATTGTGTGATCTTGCTGTAGGGCTGCTGAACAATAATCTGTTTCTACTTCTGAGGTGGATGTATTTCACACCCAGGTGAGACTATTCCACTAAGTACTTTGTGCAGTGACCAAGTAGTCTTGAGACTAGCATATATTTACTAACACTTTTTAGTCAGCCATGGACAGCTGACAGAGGGTCTACAGACTGCCCCAAATAAGCTTTTTATCGGATGGCAAAAATTGGGAGTTCAAAAATCAAAACATAAGTCACACTGCATAGATCAGGTACAACTGTCTACTGTCTAATGGATTAGGCTGATAAAATAAGGTAAAATTTTGTTTCCCTTTTTTTTACTTCATATTAACTGGTGTGTATGTCATATAATATTTTTCTCTCCCTCCATCTATTGTCAAACACCAAATTTCTAGTGAAATATATAGCAGTACTGAAAAAACATCAGATTCAAATGGCTGATACATTTACCCATTATTTGGTTCTCTCAAAGTCTAAAATAAAGGCCTCCATCGTAGACTTACTCTTATGAAGCCTTGTATTTTGAGTCCAGAAATATCTGCAGTCACACAGCTTCATTAATCAGTTGAACAAAGGCAGTTAAAAGATCAGTGATGCAGATACGTACATCTACTGCAAATGCATCAAAATGAGGCAGCAGGACACTTTATAAAAAGGGATCATTATGCAGTGAACTCAAAACCAGTGATAGTGGCAAGTCTCTCAGAATCCTAATTTCCTACAAAACTTAATTTCATTATAACATGCAGATTACAGTATTTTCTAACAGCATATTTCAATTCTCAATTAATGTTTAGAAGCATTGAGTGCTATCCAAAAGTATAATTTTACTTTTTCATAAAAGGGCAATTGAAGCCACTCAATTCAACCCAACAGGGATTTGTTGGAGAGTCTGTCTGAATTAAGTAGAGGACATTTTCTGGGAATTAATTTGTACTTGCACTAAATACAGAAAGATTCTAGTTAACAGAAAAATATAAACTGACAACAGATAGTCGCAGTTTCTGTGATGTTTCCATTAATAGGACTGCTCTATATGGTGGGATTTTCTAGATGGTTGTTCAAATAACTAAGGAAGTAAAGCACTCATTTCTATTTGTATCAAAACGCTTCGTTTCATAACACAAACAAAAGAGATCTGTCCTTGAAGTTTCAAAAAATGGCTATGCTGGTTAAATGCAAGAGTTCCCATCATCTTCAGAGAGAGTGTACCTTTGAACTGTTTTTACCTTCTTTGTTTATTGACTTAGTGAACTGAGACATAAAAAAAAAAAAGTCAACATACTCACTTTGCCCATTTGCAAGGAAGCATCTATTAAGCTTTAGCATTCCTGAGCAACACAACCATTATGGCAGTGAAGACAGCTCAAAAAAGCTCACTCTTTTGCAACTAAAAGCAATATACAAAACAGACAAATCTCATCTTGGTGCCATATGACAACGTGTACCAAGATGTGGTTATACTAGCACAGTGCACAAGTTTCACTCCACAGAAACCATATTACAGACAATATAAAACTAACTAACTATTTTGAAGGCACAGAGCACATGCAGGTCTAATTTTGCCAGGCCCTTTCAATGGCAGTGCTCAAAACTGCAATGCAAAGCAACATGCAACTCACAAGGATAAAATTACACCTCTATAATGTATCTAGTCAATGAATACCAAGAAGAGCAAAAATCTATTGTACAGCTATACAGGTCAGATTCTGTAATACAGATACTAAAAAGAAATAGTGAAATTGTACAATTACATTCTCAAATCAGGGTATGCCATACTGAAGTTCTGCATCTTTTCCTATCTTTGAGTGCAGAACAATAAAAAGCCTTTAATTATATGGGCCTAAACCACAATATCCTTTACCTACACATTTTTTTTTGCTGAACTATGATGAACTTACATTATTAAATATTATCTTATTCTTACATATTTACACTTGCTTCATTATTAACTGGTAGATTATAAATTCAATCATCTAGAATAATTACATTTTCTTCCTTTTACAATATGCATATTAAATCAATTTTGTCAATACTTTGGGGTTGCTATTGTTGTTTCCTATCTTGCAGGCTGTTACCTTTTCTAGTAAGCCAGCCTGAATCTTCTGGATAAGACAGGATATAAAATCTAAAGAATAATTTAATAAGTTATCCTTCCTCCTTTGGAAATAGATGCGCCACTTCCGGCATCTCATTGTACCATAGGTCATCTACTTTAATTGCCCTAACAATGAAGCCAATCACTAGTATATCAGAAAATTCACAAGTCAAGAGCTTTACTACTCATGAACATTCTCTGTGATGTCTGTTTGATCGCAACTTATGCAGATGGATATCTAATTTGTATTTTTCTCACTAAACTGACACTGTCTTAAGGAATTCCAAATATCTGATGTACTTTTTCTAGCAAACGAAGAGAATTTGTGCTCCACTGATTTGACTGGTACCAGCATATGCACGAATGCCAAGTTCTCACTGAAATTATATGAAAATGCTCACAAATTCTGACATGCTAAGTATCTGATGGCATTAAATAATAATAGCATATTTAAAAGACAGAAACAGTTGAATGCAACTGACAGCAATATAACACAAGCTCTTCCAAGATCTGCAATTTAGCTGAAGCTCCTATAAAAAAAGCTTCTTCCAATTGCTCATTATACCTGAGCTGCAGTTTAACTAGGTCTTATTTACTTTTTTTTAATAAAAAGATAAACATTCACGAACATCTCTGAAATATACAGTTACATGCAATACTAGAAGCAGCAACAGCCCACTGTTGCATTCAATACTGCACCTTTTCACATTTTTCTTTTTAAAATAAAGTTCTGCTCTCCATGATATAGAAAATGTGTATCATACGCTCTTCAGGAAACACCAGTATAAACAAAGGACTATAATATATCACTATGACAAAATATGAGAAACTGTGATCAAGTAACTAGACACAGGGTCTGGACATATAAACACATATATACTAGCATAATTTGGTTTTGTATACCTAAATTACAATAAATGACAGGCAAAATGACAGGCAGGGTAGCCAGCTTAAGGGCATTATTTCTATGCTTTGCCACTGTCATGGAGCCAATAATAATCTGTTTGAACTGAGCAAATGGCAACCCCAACCTAATCTATGGGCACACTATACTTGCACTAACATAATTTTGCCTCAGATTCTTTCAGTTAATCCCACATCATAGTAGGAAAGTTACCCCTGTAAAAGGTCATTTTAAATCATTTTGTAGTTTCAAAGTACATCCAGCCTCACCACAGCACCAATGTTCTATCCAAACTTAGAAATTTTAATCAATAAATGGTTAAAAAAATACTTATTAAAAAAAGCTTACTTGCATGTTTGTCTGCCAGTACAATAAGGGTACTTGATATGTCCCTTCTTCTATAGAAACACACCACTTTTGCTTCCACGTTTCCATTGGCAGTCTGTTAAAATAAACAGAAAAACTGTTTTTGAACACTAATAAAAACCTGGGTTTCAAACCACTAAATTTGACCCCCTTTGAAATGTATGGTAGTTTGACTATAAATACTCTGCTAAATGTGTGAACTGCTATGAAAACAATGCATTTATACAGAAAATTAGAAGTCGTTATCAGATAATCCAAGGGAATTTTCCAAGACCAAAAAAGTCATACAAGAATAGATCATTGATCCAACCCTCTTTCTTGTCTTTACCCAAAATCCATTCTGGATAGCACAAAGAAAGTAAATCAAAAACACACAAGACCTCTGAGAAATCAAACTGGGATACAATACAGGTGCCAAGGGCATGCATTATCCTTATGTATTAACCTAATCCATTAACCAAGATTTCACTTAGTGCCAACTCTGGCAACCTGCAGCCCAACCATCGGCTGAATGCAGCCCACAAAAAGATTGGATCCAGTGCATGGCAGCAGGGATCAGTGGCTGCAGCAGTGGAGGCACTTTCTTTGCCCTGTGCTGTACATTCTGCTGCTGTACACTGCTAATCCCCTGCAAAGAGTCCAACAGGCAACCAACCCAGCCCTCCCTGCTCCATGCCAAAGGCTGTTCTCTGACTCTGCTACCGCAGCTTTCATTTTGCATTACTGCCAAATTCAAAGCTTCCCAGTCACTGGGTGACAGGAAAAAAATCAACAGCACTTGCTGGCAATGGCAAGCAGGGGCTGCTGTAGAGGAGTGCAAGACCAGCCCTCAGCACACAGCACGGAGGGCTAGGGCACTGCAGAGGGGACTGGCAGCTTGCAGTGGCAGCTGAGTTACAAGTGGTAGCCTACTGTTCGTGAAAGTTGCCAACCCTTGGCCTATTGACCTCACCTAGAAATGAGAGGAAAGTTACATTAGATCATATTTTTCTATCCTTTCTCCAATAAAGTAGTCTTACTTCATACATTGCTATCAATGCTATTGAGATTAATTTTTAGATTTAAGTGCTGTTCACTAAATACAAGGGGAACAGAATTTAGCCCTTTTTGTGCAATTCCACTCTTCCTGCAAAATTCTCATGGAAACCATTTCGGTAGGCAAGGAAACCACCCCTGCACTGGCAGTTACATATTGCTCTTAAATCTTTCTTCTTGATAGCTGATTTTACAATATGCAAAAATTCCCATAGAAAAATTAATCATAGAATCTTAGAAAATTAGGCTTGGAAGGGATCTTGGGAGGTCATCTAGTCCAACCCCTTGCTCAAAACAGGATCATCAGCAACCAGATCTTTCTACCCAAGGGCTTTGTCTAGCCAGGTATTAACAGCCTCTAAGGATACAGAGTCCACAACCTCTCTGGGTAACCTGTTCCAGTAATTTACTATGCTCCTTGTGAGAAAGTTTTTCCTAATATCTACTCCAGTGGCTGGCAAAGTACAGCCTGTGGGCCAGATCTGGCCTGCCAGACACTTTCATCTGTA